TACATAGTATTTGAATTATTTAATTCCAAAAGAAATTAACAATCTCTTATTTAATTGGTTACATCTAAAATTTATAATCCTACATGTCGGGCTAAGAAAATTAAATCCCACTTAGTTTCTAAAAACTCGGGAAAAACACCCCTTTAAATATACAGCATTGTCGCATTACGCTGGTCCTGGCGTTCGGTGACAGTCCCGTTGCTTAAGCGACGGTCCACTTTTTTTTGCTTGAGTCCTCACGTTGAGTCTAATTAATCAGTTTATTAACGGCAGGAGCTATATTTATTCCTTAACTAAGTATAAGCACATAGTCTCATGGTCTTACACAAGTGTCAAAGCATGTCACTTTCACTCACTATTAAATCACACACTTTACATGTATTTTCACCTTGACCATATGTCTAGAGAGTCTTGTGTGCGCGTGTTTTCCGTCATTTTTTTAGGGGGGTAAGTCGGATAATAATCCTCCAATTAAACCATACTTGTTTGAACCCTATACTCGATTCCCAAAAATATACACCCTATTTTTGTTTGTTTTTTTTAAAAAAAAAATTAATAAAGTCAAAGTCAATTTGAGTCAATTCATTAAAATAAATGGTTTAATTTACAGTACTTGATCAAAAAGAGAAAGGCAACTAATCAAGGACAACGCTTTTGTTCAAGTCTTACTTTTTCATAAACCGATTTGTCAAAAGAGAAAAGCTAAGAAGATAATGGCAACTCAAGATGAAGTCAATGAACTTAGGCTAAACTTGGCCAATTTAACTGAAATGATGAAGGCTATGGCCCTTCAAGTCAATGACCCTGTGAAACAGCAACATATGGAGCAAGTGGAGGAAATCTTGAGCAAGCTCTCCAATGAATATAAGTTCCAGGGTATTAGCTCACAAGGGGTCTCAGTGGACAAGAAGCTTCTTTCGCAGAAGTTCAATGCCACTGACATCCATAGGTTAAAGCCAACTAACAATCCTTATTTCCACTTTAGGGTTTTTGAAACTATAATGAACATTAAGGTGATTGATAGGAAAGACTTTCACTCTTTATTCTCTCTATCTCTTGAAACTGTTTGCCAACAATGGTTCTTTTCTCTTGACAAAGAAAAGATCTCTACTTGAGATGGAATAGTAAACGCTTTCATTGATAGATACAAATGTAACATTCAAGTTGAAATTGACCATAGAGAACTTGAGATGTTAAAATAAAAGGAAAAGGAGGGTTTTACTTTCTTCTTTAATAAGTGGAAGGAAACTTCTGCTAAAATGGTTGACGTTCCTAGTGAGAAAGAATCTGTAAGGATGTTCATTAAGAACCTCCAAGAAAAATATTCTAAGCATTTCAAATATCAAAGTAACTTGAAAACTTTCAAGGCCGTCTATGACATAGGAATCATCATTGAGGATGACCTTGCGAAACAAAAAGCTGCTAACAACTCCAACAGTGGCTGAAAAGGAAAGAAGAACGAAAATCCTTCTTCTTCCAAAACCACCCACTTAAACAACGTTAGCACCATTAATCTTAATCATGTCCTCGCTATGAATAATCAAGGACTAAAGAAGCCATTTAAGAAGAATTTTACTCCTATTGGCATGAGTTATGACACCGCATTTGATCGCCTTCATGCAAAAAGTCTTATAACTCCCATTGGACCATTTGGAGATCCACCAGTCGAGTGGAGGACGGCTAGTTGGAACCCCAACGCACATTGAAAATACCATTAAGGCAGGGGCCATCTTACTGAAAATTGCTGGAAGCTAAAGGAAGCTATTCAAGATCTGATTGATAGCAACAAACTTCCATTGCCTCCTACAAGCAAGAAGCTAAGCATCAATAACGCCCCACTTTCATATTCTTTGACTATTTCTAATGAGGAAAGTCACGTTATCCCATCATCCCTCATCAAACTAATCAAAGAAGCTCATGTTGTCGAAGAAGTGGAGGAAACCTTTTTCGATGCCATGACTGATTTCCCTACAGGTCAACAACCTGCCACTAAAGAAGAAGTATGGGTCCTCATAAAAATAATAAGGGAAGCAATGGACATGTGTCGCAATGCCCTCGATCACGCAAAGATGGTTCGAAATAAGCATATTATTAAAGAGGTGAATCCTACAGAGACTACTAAGAGAGAACCATTTTCTCTCCAAATAATCAAAACACCTAAAAGGATCAACAAGACTTACACTTCAATTGGGACCTCTTATGCAAACATGTTTAAAATGCTCTTCGAGATGGAAAGATCAAACCTCTCGAGCCAAGACCATTTGAATCATTGAAAAGGATAGATAGGTTCTATTTTCCATACCATCAAACAAGAGGACATACCATAGAACAATGTTTCAAATTCAAAGATCTAATCTAGGGATTGATTGACAGTAAGAAATTGGTCCTATTTCCACCAGAAAAGGATGTTAGCATCAACAGAGTTTGGGAAAGTGATTATGAGGACGTCTACCTCAAAGATGTGGAAGAAAATCCACTTTCCACGATCGATATACCTAGTAGATGACATTTGGGATGAAGAAGATTCACCCATAGATGTAGATGAGTGTCATTTATGGCACTCATTTGACTTCTTTTAGGATGAATTTCATGCTATTTTATAGCTCTTTTCTTTAGTTTCCCTTAGTTTTATTCTTTATTTCTTTAGTTTGTGCTTTCCTTAGTTAGTTTTCTTTCTTTGTGCATTTCTTTGTTTATTTGGTCCTTTTCCCTTTTATTTGCTTGTTTTTGTGTATTTCCAGGTTATGATCGTGTTCCGAGGATTCCCGAGCCTTCCTCTCATATTTCTCATCATTTTGGACGCCTCTTGCTTGTCATTTGGAGCTCAAGTTTGAAGGAATGCAAGGAGCAAGCTCATGAGATAGGTGCATGCGTGCGGTGGGGGCATCATCTTTGGCATGAACCCACCAAAATGGCCCTTTCAAGACTGCCTACCTTAGTGTTCATCATCATCACAAAGACAAGCACACGAGGATGAGCTAGGACAAAGAAGAGGGGGGCCTCCCCTGCAACAAGGTGCGGGCGCGCACAAGGGTGGTGCGGCCACGCACCTGGGTGGCGCGGGCGCGCCTAGTGCAAGTGCGGGCGCGCCTGCCAGGGCCCCTGTTCTGTACCCTTTTTCCCGCGGCCACGCCTCTCCTTTGATGCGACCGCGCCTTCCGGGGTTTCTTTTGGGACGATCCAACTAACTCTTCTTTTTTATCTTTCCTATATATAGTTTTTCCTTCTATTTTTAGAGGGGAGGATTGAGAGGAGAATTAGAATAGAATTAGAGTTAGTTTTAGATAAAAAATTAGAGAGATTTTTAGAGAGAGAAACTCTAGATTTTTAGACAGAGAATTTCATGGTGGATTGTTATTGATTGAAGATTTCTCCATTTCCTTTGATCTTTGATCAAGTTTGTAAGGATTCCTTTTCTTTTATTCAATCTTTAGTTTGATCTTTAGTTTGATTTCAATTGTTTTGTTGAATGTTCAAGTTTGATTGATTTGTGATTTGATTTTAGTTTGTTTAATTTGATCATGATGATTTTGTTGTTTAGCTTTGTTTTGATCTTGATTTCTATGGATTGTGAGTAGTTGATTGCTAGGGTAATGGTGAAGCATATATGAGTAATGGATTGATGTTAATTTGGGGAAATTGATGGAGTTGATGATGTGATTAAATTGGTTAACTGATTATGTGCATGTGTGTGTTTGATTTAGGCTTGATCACCCTAGTTATTCACACTAGATTGCATTGTAGGTTCACATTGATACGAACCATTGATTTGTGGCTTGCATTTAACGATTGAGGTGTCTTGTGACGTTCCTAGCTAGAGTTTATCGTAAGTTGGCGCTAGTTATACCTCTAGGAATATTGCTTGATATGCTCTTTTGGTTGCATGATTGGCTTTCCCTCGCATCACTCGACTTAGTCAGTTCTTTCCCAATTAGCGGAATCCGTTACAAGTATATGTGGATCTCGAGCTCTAGTGTTTATTACATTTGTCCAAACCTAGCTTGTCTAGTTGTTTAGCATTCAAACCCTTACCTAACCTTTCCGGAATAGCTTGACTTGACAATATAAGATCGCTCTCCATTCCTTAGTGGTTCGACCCTCGACTTACTATTATACTCGTATAAGGGTGTGTTGAGAGATTACAAATTTTGTTTGACTTAGGGTATGGATTAGTTTCAACGACCTAGTCTCGACCTAGTCTCGACCCACGTCAAAATAACGCCGTTGCCGGGGAATGGCGTTGTGATTTTGCATTGTTGTTGAGTCTATTCCATCTTATTCAAAAACACAAAAAGATTTTCCTTAAGGCTACATTTGTAGTCGTGTTACTAATAATTTTGTTTGAGATTGTGTGTGCAAGTAAACATGGGAGAAGCTCATAGCACTAGTACATAATTAACCTTAAGTAACACCCTAAAAGTGTTACACAAAAAAGTGTTATTATAGACAATAGGTAACACTTTATTGGGTGATACATCCGCCCATGTTACCAAAGGTCTTATATAACACTTCGGGTAACATTAGGTAACACTTTTAAAAGTGTTATTATAAACCCTTTTATGTATCACTTTTAACATTATTAGTATCATTTCTAAAGTGTTACTATTTATTTTTTATGTAATACTTACTTATCTTTAGTAACATTTATCAATCATATAGTATCACTTTATCCGACATTATGTATCACTTTTTCGAACTAATGTAACACTTTGTTGATTATTAGGTAACATTTTTCAATCATGTTTTGACATATAGCACTTTATTCGACATTATTATTATTATTATTATTATTATTATTATTATTATTATTATTTATTATTATTATTATTATTATTATTATTATGTATTATTATTATTATTTATTATTATTAATAATAATATTTACTATATTTTGTAAAAAATATAAGAAAACATAAATTATATGTACAACAACTATATGAATAAGTAATCAACACATAATAGAAAACAATTTGGATTGAAATAACTTCATAATTCTCACAAAAAAAATCCATAAACACCAATTTAAATGTTTGGCCAAACAATATAATAATCCAAACACAAAGAATATTAAGTTCGATCTCTAGCTTGGAAAAAGTAAGGAAAAACAAAAAACTTCCAAATTTTCAAAAAAGACAACGATAACAATAAAAAAACATTGATAATAACAGCGTATAGCAGTAGCTACACAGCTAGCTAGCAGAACGGAAAATGTCATCAGCAGTCTTTAGCAGCAACTAGCACTAGACAGTAGTGGAAGCTTCCAGCAATAGCAGACATGAATTGGCAGCATTCAGCAGTAGTAGACATGAGTTGGCAACCGAATAAGCAAGATTCAGCAGCAAAACAGCTGAAAACAGCAGCAAAACAGCAATAGAGACAGCAGTAGCAGCAAAACAACAATAAAGACAGCAGTACAGCAAAACAGTAGCAAAATAGCTCGAAACAGCAGCAAAGCAGCTCGAAACAGCAGCAAAACAGGGCGAAACAGAAGCAAAACAGCTCAAAACAGCAGCAAAACAGCTCAAAACAGCAGCAAAACAGCAACAGAGACAGCAATAGCAGCAAAACAGCAGCAAAATAGCTCGAAACAACAGCAAAACAGCTCAAAACAGCAGCAAAAAACAGCTCAAAACGGCAGCAAAACAGCTGAAAACAGCAGTAAAACAGCAACAGAGACAACAGTAGCAGCAAAATAGCTCGAAACAGCAGCAAAACAGATAAAAACAGCAGCAAAATAGCGGTAGCAGTAGCAAAAAAGCAGTAAAAGAAAGTTCTTGTTGATCATAATTGCTATCCCAATTCTTCATCTTTATCCGTTTGGTCCTATGTGTGAAAGCATCATGTATCAAAAAAGTAGAACAAAAATTAAATAATTCAATAATAAGAGTTTGTGCTATTTAAAAGATTATACATTAACTTACCTCATTTCGTTGTTGCTCATTAGAGTGTACAATGGGAATATGATTTGTAACATCTAGATTGGATGACACATTTTCAAGTGATCCAGTCAAAGTATCCAACACTTCGGGATCAATTTACTTGAGCGTCTTCATTAATTTTGCTACAGTTTCTTTCACAATTTGGTCTTTATAGGGCTTTAAGAACTCATCGGGAATTATTGGATTGTTGCTCTTTCCCCTTAGTGAACATATCCCTGGTTGCTTTTTTCTATGGCCAAAGTTATTTGGTTTATTCATTACTTCATAGTATGCAACATCTCCATCAATTTCACTTTGAATTTGTACCTCCTCCATCTTGTCCTATAATGGGAATATAACAATCAAACAACTAATTTGAGACAAATAATCATATTCAAAAAAATATACAGACAACAGGACTTACAATGTTACTTTGGGTGGGCTCATAAGATGTTTTGTATTTCTTGTCTGCTTTCCTTTTACGACTTTATTTGTACATGAGTGCCAAGGATGGTGGCTTTTTTTCAACATCTAGTTGTTGCTAGAATAAAAAAAAAACACATCCAAATAAGAATTGAATGAATATTGTTTACATGATCCTAGTGAGAAAGATATAGAAGGAAAAATGGTATAAAAATATACCAATTTATGTTGTTTCCTCGCTAGAGTCATAGGACCCATGGTGTGCCTATCTTTTTGATCTATACTTATTTCCCTATTCTTTTGGTTGTCTTCCTGCATGCATGCATAACACACGTTCATAGTTTAACACATTTCAATTTGTGAAAGAAATAAACAATTGTAATATAAATGTAAACAAACAACATAACTCTACCTAGACTGGTTCCAAATTCCAAAATTCTAGCAACTCTTTGAAATGTGCTTCTGGAATTGTATTAGGTGGATTTGCCAACCTATCACCATCATTGCCGTACGGAGTAAAGTGTGTTGCCTTTACACTACATTTATATCTACGCCACAGCCTTCCCACGAATGACAAAACACAATCTTTACCATTTTCCGAGATTATGTATTTCTTCTGTATTAAGTAAAATATTAAACAACAAATTAGGAAGCAATAAATTACGTCAGCCACTTAACATATAATAGCACATAAACTAATCAAATCACACCATTTAAAAAAAGGTGCATACCTTCACGTAACTCCAAATTTGTTCCTTGTCTGGAACATAATGCCAACTAATCTTGTTCAACGGTGCTAGAAAAGAATTACGAGCTAAAGTCCCTAATAATCTTGTAAATGTATTCACAGTCTTATCATCGGGACCAATAGGCTTTCTTTCATTAAGAACAATAGGCTTACGCTCCTCTAATGTCCATTCATGGACATCTTTACACATAGTTGGTCCTCTAGTTTGCTTACTTTTTGGAGGTGCTACATGAATATTAACTCGACAAAGTCATTAAAATCATATATTGCTCTTAACATATCCTCTTAAAATATTTAGAACGGAATGATAGTGATCATTACCTATTTGTTCACTTTCTTGCTCTTGATTCATTAGTGGTACATCTTGCATTATTCCTAGCTCCTCAGGGGTAAGAGTACTCAAATCCTCACTAAAAGCATCTTCTTCATCGTCATATTGTTCCAAAATGCGTTCATTTGAACCCATATGATTCTCATAATCTTCCTGTAAGTCATGTCCAAATCTTTGTGGTTGTGAAAAACTTTGTGCTTGTGAACTCCCTAAATACCAATATGAACTAGCCATGTTAATAGGCTGTGAACTAGTCATGTTAATAGGTCGTAGTAATAAATCACATTGTTTTGCTCTCCTCTCTTTTTCACGTAACTGTGTTTGCATTTGCCTATAAGCACTGAGTGAACCAAGGGCAACCACTGTCTTACTCTACCCTGTCTTAGTTTGGATACCATTCCCAATCCCAACCTCTTTCTCTTGCTGATTATGGATTGCTGATTTTTTCTGTGCAGTAGACTTGCCCGATTGGATTTTTCTTTGTGTTGAATCTCTCCCTTGTAACCCTTGATCTGAGTGTTGTCTCTCGGTGTCTTGAAGATGCATCTTAATTTCATTAGCCATTAGTACTGAAGAGACACATGCCGTGTCCTTAGTGTTTGTGGTTATCTTCCCTCTCAATGCCACAACCTGAAATTAAGTACTCACGAGAATCATTAAACAAGTATTACATGATTTTTAAACAGTTATGATTCACAAAATTAAGTTGTCAAAAAAAAAAATTACCACCTTCTTTGAACGAGATCTCAAGTTTACAGCATTTTTCCTGATCTCATTTTCATCCTCTTCACTTGAGTGGTTTAGTTCACCCTCTTCATCAGGTGTATACTCGTCAGTATCTTTAGTCACATTCTTCCTTTTTTTCGTTTGTTTCGATCCCTTCATCGACTGTTTCATTTCATAAGCCATGGAAAACCCCTAAATCCTTCATCCTGATTCTATTTTTTTCTATATTTTTTTGTCTAAGTTTCTCATATTCTTCCATCTAAATCTTTCTTCGTACAAAGAACACACAAGGCAGTCAGTTAGAAATTCCACCAGAACAAAAACTCAGCAGTCAGCACAAGTGACACAAAATTCAGAATTCTCAGTTATATTTATATACTAACCTTATAGTCTGATAAGTAATCCAAAAACCAACTAAAAAAAAGGTCTAAGTAAGCAAAACTTAGTTTATATTATTCAAGGTATATACACCAGTTGAGATATTACCAGAGAGTTGATTATTTGATAGGTTGGGGTGATGGGAATTGAACCTCCAACCTCTTAGTTGAGAGGGTGGGATCTCTAATTTTCTACCATCAAGTTCCCACTTGATTCTCATACCTTACTGCTTCTTTGAATGCGAGAAATGCAATCACATATATACTTCGTATTAAGCATGCAACAATGTTATGCAGTTCACAAGAAAAAGCATATTTTATTGTTCCTTGAGTAAGGTTAATATACTTAATTTTGCAATGAACTACATTTAGTAATCTCTCACAAAACTGTCCTTCGTGAGTCCAACAATAAAAATAGGTGAATAAAATCAAACATACAATATAAGATACTGTCTATAGCAGAACCATTTTATTAGCTACTGTCAGAGCAAAATAAGGCTATATCATTATCACAATCTACAGCAGAACCAGTTTATTAGCTACCGTCTCTGCCAAATTCTTCTAGGCTATATCATTATCATCACAATCTTAGCACTATCCTCCTATTCCTATTAATATAGATTCAATTTATTGCATTGCGTGATTATAGCTTGCTATACTTGAGTATTAGCAAGATTACTTTACCTCATATTAATAGCAATTTTAATAAAGCCGAGTTTGAGGTAAATAAATCTTGCTAATAGTCTGAATTCTTTTGGTGGTTAGTTGGCCTGTATGTCCTAGTTCTTATGTGAAGTCAGGTGCTGAGTTGCTCTTTCTGTGCTTAGTTTCTCAGGTGCTCAAATCTGCTTAACAAAGGTAATAAGCTGTTAAACCCGTATCCTAATTAGTGAAAGTGACCAGCTTAGGTCCTATGACATGCATGCATTATTCTGCAGAGCAAAAGTCAATGCATAGATGATTCAGCTTAGGCCCTATGACATGCAAGCATAATTCTGCAGAACAAAGGTAATAAGCTGTCAATGCATGCAATATTAGTTAGCTAGTCATATATGAAATTTCCCTCGTGGCTAATCAGATCAAGCAATGTTTGCATCTGATCCATGTAGGGAGAAAACCTTTAGTTTGAACTTAATGCATGCAATATCCGTTAGCTAGTCATATATGAGCACTATCCTCCTATTCCTACTAATATAGATTCAATGTATTGAATTGTGTGATTATAGTGCTACAGAATAGTAAAAGATCAGTGAGGAAGCAAGCTGTAAATGACATAAACAGAGGCAATCAAGGGAATGTTAGTAGTATTATTGAACAGAGTATCCAACAATACAACCTTCTTTTGAGAGGAAGGAGCTCTCCCAAAAGAACTTTATTAATTAATTTCTTTGATACATTCCCCTTTCCCTCATTCCCTATTAATACCCTAAAATTAAGCCATAAACAAACTTCAGCACTCCCTAAGCATGCCAGCCTACAATAACAAACTCCTAACAAACTTTCCCTGAGATTACCAATCTACCCTTCTCCCCAAAACTGAATTTAACCACCTGACAGCTTAGCAACTTCTAACTTTTGGTTATTTCCTGATCCTTCTAGCATAAGTGAAGCGAACATCCGGTTTAGGCTGAGTCCTTGCATATAGCTGGCTATAATTGAGTATTAGCAAGATTACTTTACCTTAGATTAATAGCAATTTGAATAAAGCCGAGTCTGAGGTAAATAAATCTTGCTAATATTCTGAATTCTTATGGTGGTTAGTTGGCATGTATGTCCTAGTTCTTATGTGAAGTCAGGTGCTGAGTTGCTCTTTCTGTGCTTAGTTTTTCAGGTGCTCGAATTTGTAGTCAGGTGCTGAGTTTCTCAGTTTCTGTGCTCAGTTTCTTATGTGAAGTCAATATCAGTTAGCTAAGTAGCTAGTCATATATGAACTTTCCCTCATAGCTAATCAGATCAAGCAAAGTAAAAATTCAGCTCATATCAGTTTGAATTTAGAGCATAGGACTATCAGCCCTGACTTTATATTCACCTGACTGACCCAAGACTGAGTCAAAGGTAATAAAAATACCACAATTACATACAATTATTAATAAAAGCACTTGAGCACATAAAGAGCATGCATATCACCTAAGCACTTGAGCACAGAAAAAGCACCTGAGCACCTAATTGTATATCATAAAAGCACTTGAGCACATAAAAAGCATGCATATCATATTATTTGTCAGAAAGAGCAATGCAATGAAAATTTCAGTGTACATAATACTATGATCACATTATACTCAACTCTGATCAACTAATAGTCTGAGGTACATATTAATCTTGCTAATACTTAGACTTAGACTGCTAGCAAGATTAAATTTCATAAGAAAACAAGTGGAGTGATTGGTACTATGTTAAATCATGGTTCTGACTACTCAGACATGCTAGGACCAAGATCAAGTTCATAGAGTGACAAATGTTTCTAAGCCTTGAATTGGCTGCAACCTGCCCTGTATAATCCTTATCAACCTCACTATAATACTATGATCACCTTATACTCAACTCTGATCAACTAATAGTCTGAGGTACATATTAATATTGCTAATACTTAGACTTAGACTGCTAGGAAGATTAAATTTCATAAGAAAACAAGTGGAGTGATTGGTACTATGTTAAATCATGGTTCTGACTACTGAGACATGATAGGACCAAGATCAAGTTCATAGAGTGACAAATGTTTCTGAGCCTTGAATTGGCTGCAACCTGCCCTGTATAATCCTTATCAACCTCACTATAATACATTTAAATCACAGCGAAAACTAGGTAATAAGCCAAGAATACAGACTGTAGTAGCTCAAGGCATGTAGCTGAAGACCACTTGGTCCAAAAAATTATAATAACTGTGATATGTAGCTGATATACATAAACAAAAAAATATTAAAGCCAATATGCACATACGTAACCTGAAAAAAGCACTTGAGCACAGAAACAACATAGAATGAGCACAGAAAGAGTGGGTCATATCACCTGAGCACTTGAGCACATTAAAAGCACCTAAAAGCACCGGAGCACCAAGATACCACACAACTCAAAACTGTCAAATGTAAATACTATCACTATCATATCAAACCTCAAATAAATTTAAAGTATTTAAATAAAGGTTAGAGTAAATTCTGTAGCACAACACTAAATTTAACAATTAACTTATCAATTTCATAAGAAAACAAGTTCAAACAGAAAAATAGAACACTTCAATAATAGTTTGTCAAATCCAAATAATAAGTTCAAAAGAAGGACAATTATTATACATAAAAAAAAAAAGATCTAAACATGCATGTCACTTTGACGGTTCCATCCAATCCCAATCAGTGTCATCTATATCGGAACTTTCTTCGCGTTTATGATCTCTCATTTCACGGCCAACAGGCACCTCAACTTTGTCATAAGCAGCTTTCTACACAAATTTGGTGTACATCATTATCTGTAGCCGGAATTACATCCTCTGCGGGTTCACGAACTTCATTCATATATGTGTGTTCAGATTGCCCCTCGGCATAAAAAAATCTCTTGGCAAATTTCTGTGCACATAATGCTAATCGTCTTCAAGGCCGTCTTGAGTGTAGAACACTTGATGCACTTGTGATGCCAAGACAAAAGGATCATCTTTAGAACACAATTTCTTAAAGTTAACCCGAGTGAGTCCATAATCATCTACTTCCACATGGAACCAATCACACTCAAACAACACAACACTAAATGCACTCCAATAATCGACCTCAATTATCGATTTTATAGCCCCATAATATGTGACATTACCAAGAACAGGATTGTGATCCTTGCTACTTGCGAAGCTTGGAGTCAAAGCGGTTAAAGAGAGTCCGCTATTTTGAGTTTTACACCTTTCATCATGATCTCTAGTGTAGAACTTATATCCATTACAAAAATATCCGGTGTACCTCCTTGCAATAGTAGAAGGACCTTTTGATAGCCACTTAATATGATCCGGGACATTATCCACCACAACCTTTTCTCTAAACCAAACCATAAATTCATTGCTATACTCTTGTGCCTCTTTCCACCTTCTTTTTCGTTTGTCTCTAGACTTCTTCTTCATAAACTCTTCATGTTCCCTTCATAGTATTAGCCATATAAGTAAGGTAATAAAATAATATAAATTTAAACACAATGGATAAGATATTGAAAAAATTACTCACTTGATGTAATTCTCAACTTGGTCATCTTGACAATTAAACAACACATAACGATGTGCTAGAGCCATTGTGTCTGAATCAAGAGTGTATGCCTTCCCTTTCTTCTTCCCTTTCTTTTTCCTCCCAAGAGGATAACCTGCCTTAGGGAATAAAGGTGATTCTTCATCAATTTCATCAGTTTTCTCTTGACTTTTGTTAAACCACTTAGATCGCTTCTTTACACTAGCATTAAAATATCTAGAGCAAAATATCAAGCACTCTTCAGCCAAATAACCTTCTGCTATAGAAGCCTCGGGCGACATCGGTTTTTAACATATGATTTTAACTTTCCGAGGTACCTTTCTATAGGGTACATCCACCAATCACACACCGGTCCACCACGCTTGATTTCATCAACCAAATGAATCGGTAAGTGGATCATTATGTAAAAAAAAGAAGGTGGAAATATTCTTTCTAGTTCACAAAGAGTCTCAATAATTCCTGCTTGAAGGCGATCCAAATCTTTCGGATTGATGACTCTCTTGCATATTTCCCTAAAAAAGGCACTCAATCTCATAAGAGGTAAAGCAACATGCTTTGGTAAAGTTTTCCTAATTGCTGGCGGAAGCAAGTGTTGCATTATTATATGAGCATCATGACTCTTGTACCCTGATATTTTCCCCTTCTTGACTTGTACACACCTTGCAATATTTGATGCACAACCTTGGGGCAGCTTTTCCTTCTTCAAAACACTACAAAATATGATTTTCTCTTCCTTCGTCATTGAGAATGAAGCTTTGGGCAACAAAACATATCGCTCATCATCTGCATCCACAGGATGTAGTTCTCCCCTTATACCAATTTCTTGCAGATCTAAACGAGCCTTATGATGATCTTTTGACTTTCCAGGTATGTCTAACAAAGTTGCGAGCACATTATCACAAACGTTTTTTTCAATGTGCATGACATCCAAATGATGACGACACCCATAATCTTTCCAATAAGGCAAAGTGTGGAAGACAGAGGAGTTTCTCCAAGGACAATCTACATATTTCTTCTTTGGTTGTAACTTTCCAAACTTGTTTTCCCAGTTTTCCAACAAGCTTGAAATTCGATCCCCTATTAAAGGATCTGGAGATGTCCTCTCTTCCTTTTCCCCATTAAAAGACACCATATCATGCCGCCAAGGATGATTTTCATCTAACCATCGACGATGAGCCTAATAACAGGATTTGTTACTATTACTCAAGTGATGATGATCAGTCTCGCAGTGACAATAAGGGCATGCAAACTTCCCTTTGGTGCTCCAACCCGATAACATAGCATAACCTGGTAAGTCGCTGGTCGTTGATTGTAAAGCTGCATGCATCTTAAATGTTTGACGTTTCTCCGCATCATAGGTGTCTAACCCATACACCCACAAATCTTTGAGTTCTTGAACCAATGGTTGAAGATAGACATCAATGTCATTTCCAGGAGAGGTGGGCCCGGGAATAAGGAGTGATAGCGTTAAGAATTCTGGCTTCATGCACAACCATGGTGGTAAGTTATAATTAATTAGAACAACAGGCCATGTACTATGTTGTGTGCTCATAGTTCGAAATGGATTGAATTCGTCACTTGCGAGGCCCAAATGAACATTATGTGCCTCATTAGGAAAATCTGGGTACTTTTGGTCAAACTCTTTCCATGCCTCACCATCTGCAGGATGCCTCAATAACTCATCCTTATTTCTTTCTTCATCGTGACACCTCATTAGCTTTGTTGTTTCTGAACATATGTACAACCTTTGAAGCCTTGGTTTAAGAGGGAAATGCTAAAGAAATTTTTCAGGGACTTGATGCACTTTCTTAGATGGTTGATTGCTAATATCTTCTTGGGATTTAGTCTGTGTTTCTTTCCACCTTGGAGCATGACAAACATAGCAAGACGTGGCAGCTTCATGCTCCTTCCAATATAGCATACAATCATTACGACATGCATCAATCTTGTCATAATGAAGACCCAGATCTTTTATCAATTTCTTTGCCTCATTAAAAGAGTTAGGAAAATTGGATGCATCTGGTAACACTTCTCGAAAAAGCTCTAAAAACTCTGAAATTGCTATATTAGTTAACCCATGGGTACACTTCAAAAGGTAAAAACGAATAAGAAATGATAGCTTTGAAATTTTTTTGCACCCAGGATATAACTCTTGTTTTCCATCTTCAACTAACTTATAAAACTTCTTAGCCTCATCATTAGGCTCATCTCCAACACCTTCATACCTTTCTGCCACATCTCTATGAACATCATATATCTGACGTTCAATATCGTCATGCATGTCTTCAACATCCTTTTTAGTATTTGATGTTGTTGACATGCCCTTTTCATAGCAATGCCATCCTTCGGTGCCAGGCTCAATTCCGTTTGCAATCAAATGATTGAACACTGTCTCTTTACGATGCCAAAAGCGGTGATATCACGCCTTACACGGGCAAGTAATTTGATCTCCAATTGCTCGTGTAGAGAACGCTTTATCTAAATAATCCTCTACACCTTTCTCATACTCATGACTAGATTGTAAGAAGTTGGTCCAACTACTCATTTCGTCTCCTTTATCAAAATTTAAACATAGTGAATTTAAAGATTTAAAATATATATTGGCATATAACTTTAACATTTCTAAAAGGAATGAGAATATCCATGGAAATAAACACCCATAAATTTAACCTTGTATACATGATAAAAATAAAAATCAAACAAGTATGTCCAAATGTATGCTTAGATTAGAAGACTACTATACTTCATAGAAGAAAACAGCTTAATTAAGGAAACATTATCCCTGTCTTTAGGTTACTATCATCTAAAAAGTGCAAATCGCTTTTTTTTTTATACATAAGGCAGAGGTATACACTTCTGCTCATAGTTCTAGGTAGGCTTATACAATCTGTCAGATCTTCACCAAAGTTTCAAGGATGAATTGGTTTGGACTATGGAGTGAGAATGGAAGATGAAAAGTAGAGAAGATGGGTAGAGGATAAAGAGGTAAAGGGCAAGTTCCACATTGGGAGGGGTAATAAAACAGAGGGGAATGGGAACTCCAAGAATTTAATAGCGATATTCAATGGTAAAAACCACCCACCTAACAGCGACAAAGGGAAAGAGCATTTTAAACCACCTTCCCCTTTATTGATATCCACAAAACACAGGACCAGGAGAATATGCCAACTTTATGAAGTATTGTTCTGCTTGAGGAGTAGGCATCTTGAGGAGTAGTTATTTCTATCCTCTTGGTGATAATTCTCTTTGAAATAGAAAAATAAAACACTTTAATAATAGTTCGTCAAATCCAAATAATGAGCTTCTCACCCATTATCACATTACCACATACTATGATTGCAATATACTCTAGTTCAATGCTTGCTCTTCTTCTTGCAATTATCAATCTGCTTAATTTTACAATGAAACCTCTACTTTTATCTCTAGTTTTCTTTATAAGATATGATTTCATTTTTTATTTTAATTGTTGGGTGCCTAGATTTCTTTTCATTCTAGTATATGGTGGTGGCAATTATGTTTATGGATCATATACTATGTTAATTTAACTGATCAATTCAAAACATGCCATGTTTTTCCAGTTTAATTTCATCATGTCTCAACTTCTTTTTACTCCAGGTAGCACGCTTACATATATACCAAGTATATGAACCAAATTTTGAGATGTTTTCTCTGTTTTTAGAACATACTGTATCAAGTTATCAGACATAATAATCTACCTTTCAGATTAGTTTTTACACTTTCTTTATTCATTTTAATGTTGACAATAACAATACAATCTAGTTAATCAATAATCACCTTGGTGAACTAGGAAGATGTAGGGGTGATGGCTGATCTTATACTCAACAGTACAATAGCCATTAGACTAAAAAAATATAACATTGTTCATTCGGTTTTTACTCTATACATAAATCAGCTAACGGCAATTCTAAAACTTCTCACACAATGCAAACAAGGTTTAGAAATAGCAACTACAATGTCCTCTACGACATGCATGAACTAAAAAAAAAAAAAAAAAAAACCAATAGCAAAATTCCGAATCACAAACCAAACTTGAAATACCCAAATAAAAAAATTCAATTAAAAAATAGAACCATATCAAACACAAAGCCAATAACCATTCACAATTAAATTGAAAAATAAACGCTTTCATTCATACATTATTGAAAATTAAAGGTTAAATAACCAAAAAATTAGAAAACCATCCATCACAAATCATTAAGTACCTGAAATTAGAAGCACGAATACAATAAAACCCAATATCATGATGAAATTGCTCGAGATTACTTGATTTCAGATGAAATAATTGCGCGAGACGAACTGATCTAACGAAACTTCAATAAAATTGCGCGAGATTCTGATGAAATTATGGAGACGGAATTATAGATTTTTGCTTAAACCTAATTGATTATCTATCGTTGCTAGGGCGCTGTTGAACAGGGAATGAAGATGAAATAAAATTTTGAGAGATTGCAATATTCTTTTCTTCTTGTTTTTTTATTAATCTTGCGGTTTTGGCCCAAATTTTCTATTAACTTTGGCGGCTAATTGGCTATTTTAATGAATTGGTATAAATTTTGGGATTAACACTTGTATTTCTTTTTATTTAAATGTTTTATTTATTTTGTTTTTCCCAAAAATAAGGTAACATCTATATTTGTGTTACCATAAAATGCTACCTATTTTAAAACTGATACTTTAAAATGTTACCTATGCTAAAATTGCTACATTAAGTGATACAATTTAATAAAGTGTTACCAAAGTGTTAATTATAAATCTAATATTTTGCATTTTAAGAAGTGTTACCAATCATGTGTTACATAAACTCAATTATGCACTAGTGTAGAGTGACATTGAAGGAGTTAGGCACTCCGGGTGTTTACAAGTATGAGAGTGGGATTGTTCCATTGTTGGTTCCGGATAACGATTTTGAAATCAAACCAGCTATGATTACCTTGATCGAGAGGAAACAATTTGGTGGTGCAAAAAGTGAAAATCCTCTCAATCATCTCAAAGATTTTGAGAAGTATTGTAATACAATTGTGGTTGCCGGAGTTGCTCAAGAGTATATTAGGCTCAAGTTGTTTCCCTTTTCTCTCATTGGAAGAGCTTTAGAGTGGTTGGACAAGGAGGTCAAACCAAGGTCCCTAAGGACATGGAATGAAGTTACCAAGTCTTTCTTATCTCGCTTTTTCCCACAAAAGAAGACGGCGAAATCTAGGGCTTTGATCCAAAATTTCAAGCAAGGGCCTAATGAGAGTCTCTATGAAGCATGGAAGAGGTATAAGGAGTATCAACGAGAGTGTCCACATCATGGAATTCCTACCTACCAAATTATACAAATCTTCTATGGTGGGTTGAGTTCTTAAGGAAGAGCAAGCTTAGATGCCGGAGCCGGAGGCCCGATAATGAACAAAACGGAAGAAGAAGTGGTGGATGCAATAGATGAAGTGGTGAGACATTATATGTATTGGAAAGAGGTGGAAAAAGAGCCAACTAGCAAGGGGTGATCGATCGAACAATTCAATGCCATCAACGATTTGACCACTCTAATTTCGGATTTAGTGAAAGAGGTCGTATCCCTCAAGGCCAAGCTTGAGAGTCCTCCTTCGCAAGCTCCGATTCTTCCCTCCCAAAATAAGGGGAGAGGTACACCTTCTTACCCTAACACTTTTCCTTCTACTTGTTGCATGATTAGAGAATGTTGGCCTTGTGATTTATGTGGAATGAATGATCATGATGCTTTTATATATGTGCCCCAATGTTCCTTGTGATGGAATTGAAAATGAGCATGTGAATTATGTTGGTAATCATAATTTTGAACCTAGATTTGAGGTTAAAAGAAATGTTAGAAATAGGAATTATCACAACCAAGTGAACTATGATAATTATAATCAAAGTGGTGGTTGTAGAAATCATGGAGTCCAAGAGATTCGTGGCGGCTATAACAATTATGGTAATAATGGTCAAAGTCATGGCGGAGGGCATGGGGATCATAACCGAGGTTATGGTAACCATAGTCAACATCATGGCCAAAATCAAGCTAGGGATAATTGGAATAATCAAAGTAGGGGAAATTTTCAACCTAATGTTCAAAGAGGTACCCCACTTGGATCCATTCCAAATACTCAAGGCCCAAGTGATAATTTCCATGATCAACCATTTTCTTCTAGGAGTTTCTTGGAAGAGGTTTTTGAGAAACAAGCCAATTTACTAGAATGTTACATGGCCGTGAATGATGAGAAGTTTATTGACATGTTGATTCAAAATAAGGAGTTAGGAACCCGACTTTCTCAATTGGCTAGTGACTTTAAGGAATTTAAGAATTCTTCTTCTTCTTTGACTTCATTGAACTTAGATTCTAAGAACCCTATGGATGCAATTGTCACTAGGAGTGGCAGGGTCCTTGAGAGTGGAGTACCTAAGAAGAGTGATGCTAGAGAGAGTACTAGCAAGAGCCCGATTGAGATTGAAGGACATGAGAGTCCCATAATTGAGAAAATTGAGGAGGAACAAGTAGAAAGAGTGAAAGAGAAAGAGAAAGAACTTTACAAGCCCAAGCTCCCTTATCCCCAAAAGTATAATAGGCACAAATTGGATGAGAAATTTGGAAAATTCATAGAGATTCTTTATTAACTTCATCTTACTCTTCCTTTCACCGATGTGGTAGAACAAATGCCAAACTATGCTAAGTTCCTTAAAGAAATTTTGAGTGAAATTTTGAGTGGAAAGAGGACATGTGATACGGCGGAAACGATTACCCTAACCGAGAATTATAGTGCGATCCTAATGAATAAGATGCCACCTAAGTTGAAGGATCCCAAAAATTTATCCATTCCTTGTGTTATTAATAAGATGCAAATTGATAATGCCTTATGTGACTTAGGAGCTAATGTTAGCCTTTTGCCATATTCGATCTATCAAAGACTAGAGCTAGGGGAACTTTTACCTTCCAAGATTACGTTGCAATTAGCTGATAGGTGTCCCAAAAGGAAAGGTAGAAGATGTTCCTTTGAGGGTAGGGAAATTTGTCATTCTGGTAGATTTTGTAGTGTTGGATATGGGTGAAGATGCTAATATCCTTATCATCTTAGGTAGACCATTCCTTGCTACATCGGGGGCTATGATTGACGTCAAGAGTGCTAAGATATCTCTTAAGATAGGAGAGGAGGTAGTTGAGTTTGATTTGAATGAAGGTATGAAATATCCCTCTTCTTCCTTTGAAAATTGCATGAGTGTTGAAGTTCTTGATAATATTGTGCAATCCATGCATGAGCACTTGCTCACATCTAATGATCCTCTTGAGTGTGTTTTGTTGAATAACGAAAAGATAGGTGCTCCTAGCAAGGAAGTGAAATTGTATGAAGATTTGCTTGATGGAAGCATTGAAGGAAGTGATGAACAAATTTGCATGGGGATCTCAAGTCAAGATGCTTTGCAAGTAGCCTCGACCAAAGAAGGTAAAGGTGTGCCTATGGTAGAGCTCAAACCTCTACCATCACACCTTAGGTATAAAAACCTAGGCCCAATTTATACTTATCCCATAATTGTTAGTGCATCCTTGAGTGAGAACCAAGCTCAAGCGCTATGTGATGCTTTGAGAAAGCACCAAGGTGCTTTGGGCTATACCATTGATGATCTCAAAGGTATAAGCCCCGCTTTGTGTACGCATCATATAACGCTTGAGGAAGGCATCCTTCCCTCTATTGAACGACAACGTAAGCTACATCCCCAAATGGGGGAGGTAGTGAAGAAAGATATCACCAAGCTTTTGGATGCGGGAATCATATTCCCCATCTCAAGCTCTAGGTGGGTCTCTCTCGTTCATGTCGTTCCAAAGAAGGGGGTATGACCGTAGTCAAGAATGAGAAAGGTGAGCTCATTCCGACTAGAACGGTCACCGGTTCGCGTATGTGTATAGACTATAGACGTCTAAACACATCCACCAAGAAGGAACACTTTCTCCTTCCATCCATTGATCAAATGCTTGAGAGACTAACAAGGCACAAGTTTTATTGCTTCCTTGATGGTTACTCGGGATTTTTTCAAATCCCGATTCACCCCGATGATCAAGAGAAGACAACGTTCACTTGCCCTTATGGGACCTTTGCCTATAGGAGAATGTCGTTTGGTCTTTGCAATGCTCTCGCAACTTTCCAAAGATGTATGATGAGCATTTTTAGAGATATGTTGGAGGAAGAAATGGAGGTTTTTATGGATGATTTTTCCGTAGGGGGGTTTCGTTTGAGGATTGCCTTGAGAATCTTGGAAAATGCTTAGCAAGGTATGAGAAAGTGAACTTAGTGTTGAATTTGGAAAAATGCCACTTCATGTTGGAGGAAGGAATAGTACTCGAACACAAAATCTCTCATAAAGGAATAGAAGTGGATAAGGCTAAGATCGAGGTTATTGAAAAGCTTCCACCCCAGGTGAATGTAAAGGGAGTGAGATCATTTTTGGGGCATGTGGGGTTCTATAGGAGATTCATCAAGGATTTCTCACTCATTGCCAAGCCCCTCAATGACCTTCTCCAAAAAGATGTTGATTTTGTGTTTGATGACAATTGTTTGGAGGCGTTCAAAAAATTGAAGAAAGCTTTGACTTCCACTCCCATTGTCCAAGCCCCTAGGTGGGATTTGCCTTTCGAGCTTATGTGTGATGCTAGTGATACGGCTATTGGGGGAGTGTTAGGTCAAAGGGTTGATAAGAAGCTCCATGTCATCTATTACATGTTGAAGAACCTTAATGGTGCTCAAAGGAATTACACAACAACGGAAAAGGAGTTCTTAGCCATTGTTCATTCCTTCGAAAAATTTTGTTGTTACTTGTTGGAGTCCAAGACTATTGTGTTCATCGATCATGCGGCTATGAAATACCTCTTTGGGAAAAAGGAATCTAATCCAAGGTTAATTCGTTGGGTTCTTGAACTTCAATCTTTTTATCTTGAGATTCGAGAAAAGAAAGGAGCGAAAATGTGGTTGCGGACCATTAATCTAGACTTGAGGATTTTCAAGTCCAAGATGATGGGTCCCCTATTGAAGATAGAATTTTGGACGAATTCTTGTATTCGATAAATGTGAAGGAACTCCCATGGTTTGCCGATTTGGTTAATTACCTTGCTTGTGGGGAGTTTCCTCCTTCTTTTTCCAAGAATCGTAGAAAGAAGCTTAAGAGAGAAGCTAGGCACTATGTTTGGGATGAGCCGATTTTTTATAAGAGAGGTGCTGATGGTTTGTTACGTCGATGTGTGCCAAATGAGGAAATACCAAATGTGTTGAAGATGTGCCACTTGGATCCTAGTGGTGGACATATGGGTGTTTCTAGAACGACTTCTAAGGTGCTTTAATGCGGATTATGGTGGCCAAACCTCTTTAAGAACACTTGAAAATTTGTCAAAAGTTGTGACCGATGCCAAAGGACCGGGAACATTTCAAGGAGAAATGAGATGCCCCAACAACCCATCCTTGAGTTGGAAATTTCATGGTTCCTTTTCCTTCTTCATATAGGAATCAATTCATTCTTGTTGCCGTCGATTATGTGTCAAAATGGGTTGAAGCCATTGCTTCTCCAACAAATGACCATAAGGTGGTAATGAAGTTGTTTAAAAAGATAATCTTCCCAAGGTTTGGCATTCCCAGGGCGGTTATAAGCGACAACGGGTCTCATTTTGTGCATAGTTCTTTCCGAAAGATGTTGAAGAAACATGGGGTAAACCAACGTTTTGGGCTCCCTTACCATCCTCAAACTAGCGGGCAAGTTAAGGTGTCCAATCGTCAAATCAAGTTGATACTTGAGAAGACGGTTGCAAGAAATAGGAAGGATTGGTCAAATAAGCTTGATGATGCCTTGTGGGCATATAGAACAGCCTTTAAAACTCCTATTGGTACCACTCCTTACCGCTTGGTTTATGGTAAATCTCTCCATCTCCCGGTTGAGCTTGAGCATCGTACTCATTGGGCTATAAAGAAGATCAATTTTGATTTGGCAAGTGCAGGTGAGCAACGTTGGTTAGATCTCCATGAGTTGGAAGAGCTTCGTTTAGATGCTTACGATTGTGCTAGTTTATACAAAGCTAGAGCCAAAGAGGTGCATGATAAGGTCATTGAGAAGATGGAGTTCAGTCCCGGAGATAAGGTGCTCCTTTACAATTCAAGAATGAGACTTTTTCCCGGAAAGTTGATGTCACTTTGGACCGGTCCATTTGTTGTTCAAGAGGTCTTCCCAAATGGTGCTATTGAAATTTCTCCTTTGGACCTCTCAAGGACTTTCAAGTTCAACGGTCATAGGCTTAAGCGTTACTATGAGGGAGATTTTGTCGGGGTCATTCATGATATGACTCTCTATGATCCACCTTGAAAGGTGGAGAACGTCAAGCTAATGGCGTTAAACAAGCGCTTACTGGGAGGCAACTCGAGTTTCTAACCCTTTTCTCATTTTTCTTTGAATTTCCTTTGATGCCTTTATTCTCTTTTAATCTTGTTTTCTTTTGTGTTTTAGGTGGTTTTGATTTGATATCCAACAATGTTGGTGCCAATTTTGAGGTAGAAATGTCCAAATTCATGAGTTGGAAAATGTGTAAGTATGGAGATTAGTGGGTTCTTATTGTGGGTTCATGAAATTCTAGTTTTGAACCCACTAAAATGGGGTTTTGTTACTGCCTATGTTGGTGTTTATCATCATCATAAATTGTGTGCCCACCATTGTGCGCACTTAAAAAGGAAAAGAGATAGTAAAGTTCATACCCAGGGAGGTGCGGGCGCGCACGAGCTAGGTGCGGCCGCACCCCTGCTCATCTCCCCTCTTAAACCCCACTGATTCTCTTTCCTTCTCTCTCTCTCTTACCTTACTTTCTCACTCATGTTTTCTTTGGTCTTTGCTCAAGCCTCATTTTCACCTCCATCATCATTTAGTCATTAAAATTTCATCAAAATTCATAATCATCTAGTTTATTATTGCTCTTAGTCTCAATTTTTGCACTTCCATGGTGATTTTCTCTCTCCTAAATTGAGATTTTTGGTACTCTTTGATTGAAGTTTTGAGGTTTTCAATTTGGGGTTGTTAGTGTGTAATAGTGCTCCTTGTTCCATTTCTTTGTGATTTCTCATCAGTTAAAGGTATGATTTATTTATTCTTATGATATATTTTCTACCTTTATTGTTCATGGAAATTTGATTTGGTTTGGTACTACCCTTATTAGCATACCCATATTGCTTCATTTGATTGTGTTGATGATGAATTGTTGTTAAATATATCATTTGGTGTTATTGATTTAGTTAATTGAAAATCTTGGCACTACCGTTGTTGGATTCATTATTTGGAGTTGTTGATTTGGTGATGATGATGTCCATAAGGGTTTGGATGGTCATATGAAATGTTGTTGCTCCCTATGCATGATTATGGTTTATAATTGTGGTTTTCTAGTGCATTTTTTCACTTGATTTTGAATACTTGCTTATTCCCTTGATTATTTTGGTCCGTATGGATTTTTCCATTATCATGCATTGTCTTTGCACATCATTTTCCCTTTTATTGAACCTTTATCTTGTTTGTGGTGTGTAGATGGCGTCCCTTCGTCGTGCAAAAAGGGCGAGATGCTCTACTCATAGGAAGGTGGTTTCTCCTCCATCCTACATCAA